AGTTAAACATATATCTTACTTCATATATTAATAGCGATTTTTTTTATATGTATAATTAATATGCATGAACCAATATTCTACGGGTAAGATATGTGTTAAAATAAGTTCATCTTAATGTAATAATTATTCGCACAAATGAAAAGAGTTAATCTTGCAAGAATTAACAAATTAAAAAGCAACGAAATTATTAGTACTGCACCGAATTTAATTCATTAAGGTCGCCGCGGTCGCCGAAAGTTTCGTCGGAAAAGAGCTTACTCCACCGCATTTTCTACATAATATTATTAATAGAAAATTAATGTGAGGAACCTGCTACAAATATATTATGCATTATGTGAGAGTCAAGGGATGAAAGTTATAACGATATCCAAGTATATGAATTTATAAATATACACAGAAATCGTGTGAGAAATGTTCATCATAGTAATTGCATGGCGAAATAAACGGCATTAAGCGCCGTTGAAATGAATAAAATGAAAATTATTTCGTACATCTTACATATTTGGTAACGATTTGTGCAAGATAGCAGCACAAGCAAAATATAATCTTTAAAATTTTTTTTATTATAGTCAGTTACTTCAAAATAATATTTTAGTTTTATAGTTAATAAGTAATATAAACAATATCACACATCAAGTTAATAATTATTATACATAGATTCTATATATTAATATTATTTATATATATTAGTCTTATAATTTCTTATATTTAGACGGTAATCAACGCAGAAGATTTATATTACATTATCCAGACGGAAAAATTTTCTATTGTATAACATTATGTGAGCTGGTCATAAAAAATACAGTATAGATTGTTCATTAAAGACAAGAGAACCCTAATTTTATATCTTTATAACTTCATTTAATTTTTACAGTTTTTTTAAATAGAAAAATACATACATTTTTCTTCAGCCACTAGATACGTATAACGAAAGACAAGACAAGATTAAGACAGCATCGCAGAAATGGTCTTTATGCAATTTTGTTGCGTAGCCAGCGATCTAAGACTTTACAGTTAGATCTACACTTTATCATAATGCAAAGAATTGTTGCGAATGTTGAGAGGGACATGGAACCTTGAGAATTTCCTCGCTCATTGTGATTCGCAAAAGAAATAAGGTCTCGTATGCACTCTTCCTGGTATATCAGAACAGAATTTCCCACACTGCTGCGGCCCAGTTTTGCATAATGCATCTTCTGAAGAAAAGTTCTTAGATGTCTTACATTAAATCGCAAAAGCAAGAAAATATCTATTTTTTTTTCGGGAAATTCATATCTTCTTGTACACATCATTACACATTGCTGTATTAAATTCGAATTAAATTTTTGAATTAAAATTTTTTATATATAAATTTATTACATATTTCTGTGAAAGATATATTTTATGAATATCGGTCTAAATATACATTTGATGCATTAACAAAATATTTATATAAAAATCTAGTTATATTATTATAAATAACACGTTTAATACAATTTTTTCAGTTTTCTTTGTCAACAATCAATATAATATTTAATATGAAAAAAATAATGTTTAGCTAAAAAACAGCTTACTAGCTGCAAAAACATAAATACATGTTTTAATAGCTATTAACAGATTTTTTAAAATATTATGATATGAGGTGCAAGATTAAATAATTATAAATATAATCTACAAAAACAATGAATTGTCTATAATAAATTTTAAAGCTATTATTATGATATTATAATACTTGATACCACATTCAGCGAATATATTACACAAATCTGCATTCATGACAAGTTCAAATTTGAAAACTCTGTTAAAAATTTGACAGAAGTCGGAAATAGCGCATCTACGTTTGACAGCTTCATTATTTCTGGGGAAAAAATGTTTTACTATTAAATTACAATCCAAAACACGAGACTCGAGTTGGCTGCGAAATTTGTCGTTGCTAACTCCATAACTTTATCCATGTAAGCATAACGCAATTTCATTTACTGCATCCGGTCGTTGTATACTGCGGGTCTTGAAGCGCAAATAGATGAGCTATTGAGAGAATTCAGCAGTAAAGCAATAGAACTTGCCTAAGTGTTCTTTAATTAATTGAATGCGTATCCGTTCAGAGTGAATACATATAACATATTGATGCCAATCTGTAAAAGTACTATAATTATCGACATGCAATTAAGTAAATCACGCCTTTGAAGCATACTAAACACGATAATTTTCAAATAAAAAATATTGTATTATATAATATAGAGGAAATTTAAGAAAATAACGTGTTTTTTGTATGTGTATTTGTGTTAATAAAGAAGAATAAAACTCTTTGATTTAATTAACATTAATGAGAATAATTATAATATAAAATATATTATAAAATCGAAAAATTTTGAATAAATAAATTTAATAATCTTTGTAAAAGTATCAAAACAATATCCATAGTTACATCACTGAAAAATATTTGGTATCATAGTCTTTATTGTCGTAACTGTCTGGATTATACTTATAATTCGAATTTCTTATAAATACATAATATTAAATATAATTAACAAGTAATTTTACATTAAATATAATTAAAAACTTGAAGAATTTTATAATTTATTTTTAGGAATATATGCTTTTATGTTTGTATTTGCTTGATAACGCTTAACTTAATGAAATTTAGATAAATGTATTTACATTAGCTCTTAAACATAGATTCTTGCTTGAAGATTTTTAATTTTAAGATATTTAAGATATTTAAGATACCTTTTTAGTTTTAAGACATGATACAATGATACTACAACGCAAGTTAAAAAATTATTAGAACCAGTAAGAATAAATTAATTAAAATTAATAATCATCCACGAAAGCATAAGCCACGTTAAAGTTATCGTGTTAACTAATATCACATTAGCATTATTGCACTCATTTGTATTGCATTTTCTTAACATTGTACATTCTCCATCAGTGCATGTATAATTGGAAAGAACGCAAGTACGTTCAGTGGCTTCAGTGTTGTTACTGTAATCTAGAAAAAAACATTTATTACTAGGAATTATTATTTTTTATTGATATGCAAAAGAAATATACGTAATGTATAAAATATCGAAATACAGAATACTTACGATGTTTAATTATAGCACAATTCCATTCTTCTGCATATGTATTTTGTTGAATGTATGGAAGAACACTTCTTCGTAGTTTACTATGGCGGTAGTTTGCCACTGAAAAAGTGAAATTTTAGTTAAATATTGAATATGATACGAATTTTCTAAAATTTGTAATAAAAAAAATTGAAAGTATTGGGAGTACAAATTAGTTCGGTCCGTTTCCCTAAAGATAGCTCCAGCTATTGTAAATGGTTCATAGTGACAGCTGATTTTGGCAGTTTCATCTGCTAATTTTGGAGGTTAAACATCTGCTAATAATATTCAGTTTATATCGCTTTGAATTTCATACAAAAACCTTGATTTTTACTGTGTTTGAAATGTCGAATTTTATGTTAACCAAGCAGCATTTGCTGGAGGTTTTGATTTTCTGCTTTAATTGAAAGAAAAATGCTGAAGCCCATCAAATGTTTTTCGAAGTTTATAGTAACATTGCTCCAACTGATAAATCATGTAAGAGATGATTTCAAGGATGGAGATTTCAGCGTTAAAGACAAGCCTCGTTCTGGACAGCCAAAAAAATTCGAAGACAAAAAATTAGAGACATTACTCGAAGAAGATCAGAGTCAAACGCAAGAAGAGCTTGCAGAATTATTGGGGGTAACAAGCCGTTTCTGCACGATTGAGAGCCATGGGAATGACTTAAAAACAAGGAAATTGAGTGCTTTATGAATTGAAACCGAGAGACGTTGAAAGGCGATTTTTCGTTTGTGAACAGCTGATTCAAAGACAACAGAGAAAAGGTTTTTTGCATCGAATTATGATTGGAGATGAGAAGTGAATATTCTACGACAATCCCAAGAAGAAAAAATATTACGCTAAGCTCGATCAAGCGTTGTCATCGACCTCAACATCAACACCATTCCGAACATTCATGGTTCGAAGATCATGCTCTGTATCTGGTGAGACTAACAGAGTCTTGTTTACTATGAGCTGCTGAAACCTGGCGATTCCATTATGGGCGATCAGTATTGGCTACAATTGATTCGTTTGAGCCATGCGTTGCGAGAAAAACGGCCGAAATACGAGCAAAGATATGATAAAGTTATTCTTCTTCATGACAATGCTCGACCTTACGTCGCTAAATCGTAAAAAAAATTGAAAACGCTCAAATGGGATGTTTTACCACACTCGCCGTATTCTCTGGATATTGTTCCTTCTGATTACTGATTATTCCGAAGGATGCAGCAAGTCACCGGTTCACTTCTTTCGCAGAAATCGAAAATTGAAATCGCCTCCAAAGTCATTTTTTCGAGATGGAATTCGAAAATTGCCTGAGAGATGGGAAAAAGTAGTAGGCAGCGATGGACAATACTTTAATTGAGCTGTTTATTCATTTTGTTTTGAAATAAATGCACAAACTAATTTATACTCCCAATAAATACAAAAAAACAATAATTATTCTATAACAAAAGAATTTAATTCAAGGAACAGAAAAGTTAACAAAGAATTAATTAAATTTATTTATTAAATTTTTTAAAAATTATTGATTAAAATTTACATTTAATTATACTAACATATTGTATTAGGTGTACAACTTTGCTTCCGCCGTTTTTTTCCGAAATTTGAGGCTTTATTGTAAAAAACTGGTTATGCATTTATGATTCAAAGTATTGTCCATCGCTAGCCATTACTTTCTCCCATCTTTCGGCGTACGAATCCCACGTCGAAAAAACTGGTCATCTTTTGAGGCTATCCACGAATCGATCCAATTTTTTACTTCTTCATAAGATCGGAAGTCAGCCAGACCGTGTGCCATTGATCGAAACAAATGATAGTCAGAGGGAGCAACGTCTGGAAAATACGACGGGTGGGGTAGGACTTCCCATTTCAACATTTCCAAGTATGTCTTGACCACTTTCGCAACATGGGGTTGAGCATTGTCATGCTGCAAAATCACTTTATCGTGTCTCTCGTTGTATTGCGGCCGTTTGTCTTTCAATGCTCAGCTCAAACGCATCAATTGCGTTCGATACCGATCGCCTGTGATTGTTCCAGTCGGTTTTAACAGTTCATAATACATTACGCCGAACTGGTTCCACCAAATACAGAGCATGACCTTGGAGCCATGAATATTCGGTTTGGCCGTCGACGTGGAAGCATGGCCGGGAACTCCCCATGATTTTCTGCGCTTCGGATTATCGTAATGAACCCATTTTTCGTCCCCAGTCACAATGCGATGCAGAAATCCCTTCCGTCTTTCCCTTTCAAGCAGCTATTCACAAGCAAACAAACACCGTTTAACATCTCTCGGCTTCAATTCGTACGGCACCCAATTTCCTTGCTTCTGAATCATTCCCATGGCTTTGAGGCGTTTTGAAATGGCTTGTTGAGTCACTCCCAATGATCGTGCCAATTCTTCTTGATTTTGACACGAGTCTTGCTCAAGCTAATGTCTCCAATTCTGCATCTTCGAAAACCTTCTCTCTTCCACTGCTATGCCGGTCTTCGACGTCAAAATCACCGTTCTTGAAGCGTTGAAACCACTCACGACACGTTCTTTCACTAATAGCGGACTCACCATAAGTATTTGAGAGCATTCGATGAGCCTCAGCCGCAGATTTCTTCATATTGAAGCAAAAAATTAAAACCTCCCGCAAATGACGAGAATTTGGCTCGTAAACTGATTTAAATCGAGAATAACTTTATGAGGCAGACACAAATTGACTAATGTTTTTATGGGGTTATGTTGACAGATGCCCAAGTTTATTGTACGACGTCTATGATCTATTTATTTCGACCACCACTTACCGCTAAAGCCATCTATAGGAAAACGGCGGAAGCAAAGTTGTACACTTAATATTAACATTAAAACTAACAAAATGTTAAAATTATTGATATTTGAAGTTCTTTCTTATGAAATACAATATAATTAAATTTAACGCGATACATAATTATATATTAAATTTCGAAAAGATTTTTTTGTATTCTAAACTTTCTATTCTAATCTTAATAAATATTGATGAATAATTATATATATTCACTTTATAAATTCAGATATCTCAAAATTAATTTTTTGAATATATTTAAAAAAGTATTAATTTCTTAAGAAAAAAAGAGAAAAAACAAGAAAGAAAACAAAATAACTTTTCCTTACTTTTATTCTGATCTGGAGTGCTCATTGATAGAGCGCCGATGCCCGTTGGTAGAATGTAGCTCGTCGGCGGGGTTGATGGAGAGCAGCTTGTCGACGGGGTTGTTGAAGTGCTGCTGATCGTCGGCGGAATTGATGGAATGCTGTTGCCCGTCGGCGGGATTGATGGAGTGTTGCTATCTATCGGCGGGATTGATAGAGTGCTGCTGTCCATTGGCGTGATTGATGGAGTGCTGCTGCCAGTCGGCGGGGTTGATGGAGTGCTGCTGCCTGTCGACGGGGTTGATGGAGTGCTGCTGCCCGTTGGCGTGGTTGATGGAGTGCTGCTGCTCGTCGGCGAGGTTGATGGAGTGCTGCTGCCCGTTGGCGAGGTTGATGGAGTGCTGCTGCCCGTTGGCGTGGTTGATGGAGTGCTGCTGCCAGTCGGCGGGGTTGATGGAGTGCTGCTGCCCGTTGGCGGGATTGATGGAGTGCTGCTGCCCGTTGGCGGGATTGATGGAGTGCTGCTGCCCGTCGGTGGGGTTGATGGAGTGCTGCTGCCCGTTGGCGAGGTTGATGGAGTGCTGCTGCCCGTTGGCGGGGTTGATGGAGTGCTGCTGCCCGTTGGCGAGGTTGATGGAATGCTGCTGCCCGTTGGCGGGGTTGATGGTGTGCTGCTGCCCGTCGGCGGGGTTGATGGAGTGCTGCTGCCCGTCGGCGGGGTTGATGGAGTGCTGCTGCCCGTCGGCGGGGTTGATGGAGTGCTGCTGCCCGTTGGCGAGGTTGATGGAATGCTGCTGCCCGTTGGCGAGGTTGATGGAATGCTGCTGCCCGTTGGCGGGGTTGATGGTGTGCTGCTGTCCGTCGACGTGGTTGTTGAAGTGCTTGTCGATGTAGTAGTCGTTGTTCTAATAGTAGTGGGTGGCGGTGATGGTAATCTACATTCTATAATCATTGTATCTAACAATGGACCCTCTTCACAATCCTTGTTTTCTAGTGAGTTGCATTGATAACATTTCAATGCACTTCCTTTAAAAAAACAAGTTAACGTAAATATTTTTATATGAATCATGTTATACAGTTTTTATTGATTTTAAGACTTTATAACTATTATCCTTAAATAAAGTGACAATATCAAATATAATGAAATATGAAAGAAATGAGCATTTATTGTCAAATTTCTTAAGACGAATCTGACATAAGCACAAGCAAATAAATACAAATAAAGCATCAGAGACTATATAGGAGACTGCACAAGATAGCACAAGAGGCATGTTGGCATTGCGTTTTGTTAATATATTTATGATGAAAGAAGCAAAATTATTACAATTTCTTTTATAACATAGATATTTTTCCTTAAGTTTCATTTAAATCAGAAAATATTACAATAAAAAGAAGAAATATATGATTTATGAATTGCATTATTAATTAAAAGAAAAGTTTTTGTTATCATACGACATGTTATTGTAATGATCAATTTAATGTAATATAATGACTTTTTTAAAATCTTTTCATTTAAATTCTTTATTAACTATTACATTAATAATATAATCAAATAAACCTTCGAAAATTTATTTTATACCTGAGTATAGAATAGTGGATGCAATTACTAAAATGATGATTACAAAAGGACGAACTTGCTTTGCCATCTTTGATGTGTTGTCAGATACGTCGAATCAGTAACTGTCGTGATACTTCGAGAAATCTATACCTTACAACGTTATCATCAATTTTCACTACACTGGCACTGGCTGCGATAAACTTGGATTATCACAAGCAAGACTCTCCCTCAATGCTGTTAATCTCAATTAAGATGTAAAAAAATGAATATCAGATAATCATCATATCTTTGTTGCAGTTATAATTTCTATCGCAAGTAAAAATAGGAAATATACAATAAAATTAGAAATAAATTACTTTCTTTTAACTAGAAAATTTTATTAAAAATTAATAAAAATAATTTTCAAAAATTAACATAAATAATTTTCTTGTAGGCATATATTGTATTAGTTTTGCAGAGTAACAAATTATATTAATTATATAATTGGTTTTTTATTATGAATAATTATTATAAGTAATTGTAAGATAGCAGATTTGATTTGTGACTATATCACAATTATATTTTTAAAACAAACATGACTTTAAATTTTATGAATCATATCAGAATTTTTTACGAATTTATTTTGTTCCAACTTTAAAAGATTTCTGTTAATAGAATTGATTGTCATACAAAAAGTTAAAAATACCAGATCAGCAATAATTTGAAATAATTATTATTCTCATTTGTTAATGTGTGTGTGTTTTTTTTTACCTATATTTAGTGGTTAATTAATATTTCTAACAAATTTATTATTAATATGAAAACTATTTTGGCATTAAGTATAATTATTCTAATGAAACGTATTTAAATGATAATTATTAAATACTTTTACTTATCCATTTTGACAGTTCTTCGTCAATAATTAGAGAATATCTAATAATAATGATAAAAATTTTTAATAATAAAAATAAAAAACATTAATCATAACGATAAAGGTTAATAACAAAGATAATGAATCATAAAAATAAAGATTTTTAATAATAAAGATAAACCTAATATAGAAGAAAAAAGTAATATTTAATAACTTTTGTGCTTATTTATATAAATAGTGTGATATTAAATTCGAGGATACATTCTTAGCAACCGTTTCATGGATGATTAAGCGTGACATCGCTCGATTGGCGAAGAAATATTTTAAGTTCGAACAGTTACGAATTATAGTTAACATTGTAAAGAGTACACGTTACCGTAACATCCACATTTTTTGTGCATTCAAGCGAGAAAGCTATGAGACCGTTAGGTCAACGCAAGTAATACTATATGTCATTTTCATCGCCTCTTGATACCACAATTATAATAAAAATCATAGACTCATCGAACAATTAGTTGCAAGATATATATAATTGATATGAATACCATTGATCGACAAGACATGAAGTTTTATATTTGCTATATCTTGACACAAATATAATAAATAAAGGTAATAAATTAAGTTTTTTATTTTTAATTAAAGTTTCTACGAAGAAACCGACGGAATTTCTTTCCAATTTCACGTACTGTATAAGCTTCTCGAAAATAAAGCTTAAAGAAAAATCATTTAAAAGTATTATTACGAACTGATGAATGCTTGATTTATCTCTTTGTTCTTCACGGCTTTTTCTACTACCGTGGAATCTTTCCCATTTAGGACCTTTCAATTTCATTTATACATCTATGTCTATTAATCCATTAAAAACATTCGTATATTCAACTTTTCTTAATGAAACGATCGATTTTGTAATTGTCCAAACAATTTGCGAGAAAATTCTTTTAAATATAAATCTATCATTACAATTTTATCGGATTTGAAGTGACTAATATAGAGAATTGATTTATAAATTATCGTTTATCATTGAGACAGAGATATCAATTGCCAATATTTTGTATCGCCAATAATTATTTACATTTAAACTTACAACGACCGATATTATATTATCTTTGGAAATCCTCTTTCTGCACAAAGCTTCTTTTTGCACAAAGTATAAAATTGTAAGAATTCTAAAATTCTTCTAAAATTGTAAGAATTTATTACAAGGAAATAAATAATTTTCTGTTAGGTTTATGTAATCTTTACACTCTTACATATCTAAACATGAAAAATTATATCATTGTTTCGGTCAACGAATAGTCGATGGGCATTATTAATATGCTATATGATGTAATATTGGATTAAAATCAAAATGTCAGAATTTAAAAATAAAGAATCCATTATTTTTAATAATTTATGTATATAACAATGTGTATATATATTGTTATATACATATTAAAAATAAAAATTTGTTAGTTTTAAAATTATAATTTATTCAAATAATTTTTTATTCGAATTTATATACTATTTAAAGTCTTTTTGAGTTATAAATATTTTATTTCTAAATGTTCGTGTGTTTGAAAAATTGGTGATGTTGAATAGCCTGAAGTTTTGCAGATCGTCTCTCCGACATGGAAATGCTGAATCATCATTGCATTATCATTGGGCGCTCATTAACGCCTGTCTTTTCAAAGATATTTCAACGATATTTCGCATAGCTTGAACAGCAATGCCTTACTTTAAATTATTACATAGTTGCCTGATATCTGATATCTACTCTAGAATGTTTTATTTTAAAATGCACTTATCAGTAAGATAATATTATTAATTTATATATATATATTAATTTTAATTCAATATATGGCTAAAGAAATATACAATGTATATACATATATATATATATATATTTTTGATTTATAATTTAATGATGTTACGAACAATTTTTTTCGCAAATAATATAATTCGACATTTTAGCTGCATCAACCAATGCATCAACCAATATTTTGGAATTTGGATTTTTGGTGTGTAAATTCCAGCATCAAAGTATCGGAGATAATGATTATTTCGAAATTATCTCAAACGCGATACAAGAAAACCGAAGAAAATACGCTAAAAATACGCTGGAGAATGATTATGTCGTGAAAAGGGAGAACCCTTGTGGGTGTTCGCTAGAGCATGAAGGTATTCGCTTCCCACGCTTAAGCAGTGGAATAACAATAATACTCACGGATGTTTGTGCATCCTTGTCGCCTCCAATTGCTCGGCATCAACGTGTTACGCTTCAAGTTTTCTTTAAATTTTGCTTCTCCGTACTTAGCAAAATCGTCTCTTTTTGATCAGGCACTAGAATGATAGTTTCTCTTTCTCTTCTTCTCTTCTTCTCTTTCTTCTTCCTCTGCGCATGATCGATGTTTCCTTGAAACATATAACATAAATAATGTTATATAACTTTTTGTATATTAAATTTATAACTATATAATCTTTGTTATAATCCTAGGTAGCAATATGATATATGTTTCTTTATTATTTCTTCTTTTATTCTATTTTTTTTTTATTGTTCCGCAAGTATTGTTTTCACGGAAGTGATATCAATTCGAATAATATTATGTTCGAACGACAATAGCATTTATATCATACAGAATTGTATCAGCAAGATAAGAACAATTGATTGATATCAATGGCGAATATACAACTATCAGTTTCATCCCTCTGTTGCAATGATGCAAAATATAATTGATACATCGAGCAATTTATGATACTATTGACGCGTCAAGAAAATATTCCACACATTTATGAGAAATCCTGGCGTTTCCGTGTTTCACTAATTATACTTTCTTCGATAGATCAAAGTCGTTTAGATTTATTAGACACAGTGAAAGCGTGGAGCATTGTCAATACATTAGAATTAATCGATGTTCTCAGGCTATTTTTTTTTTATTATACGTTCCTGTCTCTCATCTCTTTATCATTGTTAGCATGAAAATTCACTTTCAATATCGCGGAGCGATTTATGAAAAGTTAAGATAACTCTTAAATCAAATGCAAACTTTCTTATCAATTCCTTGAAAAAAGTCTCTTCTAATACGCGCAATAATCACTCAAATCTTTATTGATTTTGAAATTCCAACCGAGAAATTTTTTGTGTGCACAAAGAGTTAAGTGGAAAACCATTAAAAACGTATGTAGGGAAAAAGAAGGTAATTGTATCTCACACATATATGCGCTTTAGATTCACGTCAACCTTGAATTAAATTTTGTAGTGTTTATAGCCGAATTAATTATTTTTTTTTCGATTAAATTTTTTTATTCATTTGAAAGTTTTGTAGCTATTTTTGAATTTGTATTTGTATTTTGTCTTTGCATTCGTAAGGTTTGCGACTTTCTCGTGGATTCTCGTTCTATCTTTTGCGATACATAAAGATGCGTGTGAAATGTCAAAAAAAGGTGTGGAAGAACACGTAGGTGCGCACAAACACATTCCGAGGTAGGAAGGATTATGGGGAAGAGAGAGATGTAAAGCTATATGCCAATTGTATGCCAGTTACTGAGTTGTCAGGATATTACTCTGGTGAAACGAGGACACTGGGATTAAATCGACAGCGGCTCTCTAACATCGACATCTCAATGTTCTACAAGCGTGCGTCATGTAGGATTCGTGAATATTTATAGCAAATTTAAAGATCACACGCAGAAGCCTAGAAAATTAATCTTTCACGAAACGTACATAATTTCTGACAACATCGTATTAATATAATTCTCTTACATGTTTTTTTAATATAAATAAACTTGTATAAAAAGTTATTTTTAAAAAAGCAACATACTTGATGTGAAGTAAATTTTCTCAAAATTTTTAACTCAATTTGTAATGTCATACATTTTTTATTCAAATAAAATATTATTGTTAAGACATGTGATATAACTTAGGCAAAGTTAATACACCTTTCAAAGTTAATACACACATACATATACAAATTATTTTATAGTTATAAAAAATATTTGTATTTTTGTGCACATTACTTGATAAATAATAAATGATTCGTAAAATTGAATATTTTGATTGATATTTTCAGAATGTATAAAGACTTTTTTACTTTTATATTTTTATTCAACAATTTATAATAAATTGCGCTATAAAAGTTTTTTGTATATACGCATAAAAGATTTTACAGATATTCATATGATTTATTATTTATTTGCAAGATAAAGATGAATCCACTTTTATATTAGTTTATCATGATCAATTATTATTTATCAATTATTTTAAAGAGATTTATCAATTATTTTAAAAGAGATTTAAGATTTAATT